CCAATTAAAAGCGAAGTAAATATAAGACCTGTATTATAGATAGATAAATACTTTATTTGTACACCAGGGTCTTACAGACATTATAAAGTAATTAACAACAGATGTAATGTACAAAGGGCGGCCTTATCGCTTAGTGCAATATCTTCCAGGCAACCTTTCGATGGATTCATTTTGAACTGGTGATAGGTATACATAAATGAGAGAAATAAATAAGGTCTTAACCTATGAAATATTTATTATACATAAAGCCTACTATCTATATTTATACATACATACTATACATACATAAGTTAAAAATTCAGATTTTAGAAAAAAGGAAATTAAGTACAATTGAAATTTCAAATTTAAAAGGAAATATAATACTAAATAATAATATTAATCTCACACATCTCACACACGGCTGTTTGATCGCAAAGAAGGGAGTCTGTATCTACTATGGTAACCAGACAACTGATAAACATACTTAAATATTATATGTCTAAATAGACCTATCTAGATAATAGTTCAGTATAATATTCAAGGTTTGAAAACATAAATAACAATAAAAGTGTTTATATATTTATTTTAAAAAAGTTTAACTTGTATAAAACAGTCTCCTTAATTCCACTCACGGCCTGCGTCGTGATGTTATCGACATTTCAAGCTACGTTCAAACCGTAGGGACGAGGTTCGACTCCCGGCTGATAAGCGTGATGGAGGTGCGCGTGCCTCCGCATATGGTACTCACATTACACACAAAATATAAACACGAACTTTATATACATTTAAAAACATATTTTAATCCCCTGAAATAGGGATGAAAATCGTAATTCTACTTTGAAGTTTTGTTGTTTAGGTATTAACGAAAAATTATTACGCCAAATAGAGGTAATATATTATATTATATTAATACTAGCTTTTTTTGGAGAGTCCGGAGTCTAACCACGACCGCACAAAAAAACGGTTTTAATTAGTTCTTTTGTTGCTCGAAGTCACCTAGCCCGTTCCGCCCGCCCCTATTACTAGGGTGGGGGAACGGGTAGACGGGTAAACTGATTGTGACTACCGCCACCCATGGACACCTGCATACAGGAGTAACAAGTGCCCCCTTTTAAGTCACCCCCTCTAGAATTAGGGGGAAATAGAAAGAAGAGATATGTGAGGTTATTATTATTAGTACCTACAACCCTCATCTAATGATACTTTACCTTCAAACACAAAACTGCAAAATTAAACACATGTTTTTTCATTCTTTTTGAACTTTAAACTTAATAAAAACACAAAAACCATTTTAAAACTGATCCAATAAATCATTTCCGCGTCACGGACTTGACTAAATAACTATTTTTAAGTATTCAGTTTATGCAGGGGCCCGGGGGCAGTTAATAGTCAATAAAGTGATAATTACTTAGGGTCTGTACATGATCAATCATCATTAGGAGTCAACCGAGGATGGGGGGTGATATGAACTGTTTTTATTAATGCATCATCAAGGTATAGTTTGTATTTTTTATCTTAATTAGTTTAATAAACCTCTTCTCTACTATAAGAATATGAATTTATGTTGACAGAAGACATATCATGTAAGTTCATTCAAACCCATAACATCAGTTGATAAGCGGTAACCTGTACCTACAACTATTGGTTATACGTACTAACACTGTCATTACCTATGCTTTGTTTCAAATCCACTACTAGAATACCTTTTAAGACATTGCTATTTGTTATTTAAAGAAGACAACTCCCGTACTAGGAATAAATCCTGTGTCGCGGCCGACCCCACAAACATACATGAAACGGACACAAAGCAGACCCAGACTCAGAACAACGATTTGTTGAGTACACAAGGTGTTGTCCCATGTGGGGTTTGAACCCACAAACACTCGGCGCAATAGGAAGGCGACCGCTTAAACCACTACGCCATCCGTGCAGTCATATTGTGAGATTGAGAGCACATTTGTGAGATTAAGAGTAGATCAGAACTGAATTTTGAACGAATTTCTACTACGAGACAATTTACTTTCAGGTTGAAACAAGAGGCAAACGTAAATGCTTATAATAACCGTCAGTAAATTCCATTGAAATTGTTTGAACAAATCTATCATAAGTATTCATAATACATATTTTAACAACCGCACAACCAAAGGTTCAATCACACTGGGGATTCACGAGAGCTCGTAATGACCCGAACTGTGTTCTTAGTTAACGCAAAATAGCCCGAATAGCGATAACAATGCCTTAATGTTTAAATTTATATTAACTACGATATACAAAATAGTGAGGAAGTCACAGTATGCTGGGAAGATTAACCCTTTCCTCTATAGGGCCTGGAACCAAGAAGCGGCCGTATTGCTAAGGGAAACATTTGTAGGTTACGCTTTCATTCAGAAGGGGAAAACAATAAATATTGTAACGCCCAGAGTTTACTTGGTACATTGCGTAATAAATATAAATATATGAATTTAAAATAGCTTAAACATCTAATCAATTACCTTTAAACACTTTAATTTGTATTAGCTGCTGATTAAAAAAATGCTAATTTTTCGCGATCCACGGAGAAATTGATATCGGTCGCTTTACTCACTAGCAAATCGTCAGTTTGATAATGGCCTATATCATGAACAAGTTAACCGTTCACTGCATACCGATCTTATTAAATCCTTTGTTGTAGAGGGGTCGGTAAGACCCAGCTGCCAAACTATCCTTTCTGATATATGGCTGAATTAATACCCACTTACACTTAAGACTTCTCCGGATCCTATTGTTACGGAAATTTCAAGAAGGGACAATATGGTCGCTTTGGGTTGGCGTCTTAAATGTGTGCTATTATCGGGATGTCGTACATGATTTTCCATTTGTGATTTAGGTATATACTCACTCATTGACTTTTCGGTCACGATGACGTTACGTTTGCTTACCTGAAACAAGAGTATGAGTTTTAGTAGAGACATATTTATTCACACAGATTTTCGATTTAAGAAAGAAGATACTTTCGCTTATTGATTGTATCTGATTAGCAAGCTTGAAGTTCTGGCGTTGAAAAACTGGCCATTTAAGTTTTTTTTATATTTTAAACATACGCCGAAGTACACATAAAAGAATTAGTGACCTCGTGGAGTAAGTTTAAGATTCAGTTTTTTTAAAGAGGTTGGTTGCAAATGAGCAAACGTGACACTTCATGGTAAACAACGTTCTAACACCAACGCCTCTCATAAACAATTTGGAAAACACAAAAGCGTTGCTGGCCTTTGAAGTGGGAGTACGCACTTTTTGGTGATAGATTTTTGGTTTCACAAATTGGTGATATGATGCAAATCATTTTTTGAGCTAGATAAATGCAAAGTGTTGGAATGCCTTATACCTTAGTGCGAAGGATTTAATGTTGTAATTTTTTAAATAATTCCTACGCTTTGCACTAATACCAATATCATCGTAAACAAAATAACAACAATGATTATTAGTTTTACTACAATCGATACCATATAATAAATCCCTATCACAATATCGTAGTAATATCCGCAAATATCTACACTATCTCATATACGATTCATTAATCCGTCTGAAGCTTAATTTCTCAGCCAATAATATCTTGAGAATTAATACCTATACGTGTTTTAGTTTTGTACCGAGCGGAGCGGGTCGGATATACCGTTGTAGTTAGTTAAGAGTTACGGTTTTAGGAAAATCGGAAGTAATAAATGTGTATTTGTAAGTATATTTGTATAAAGTCCTATTCTACTATTACACTTATTCAAAATAAGAATTGTCTTTTGTTTCTGGAGAGTGGGTAAGTCCGTAGTTGGATATACATTAAAATTAACACATTACTTTTTAAAGATTAATAAATTTTAAGTAATATTTTACATATCTACCATTAAAATAACCTATAAAACTCAAATCATACGCCATCTTGTGTCATATTTCAAAGAGCGTGTGTTATGTTATCATAAAATAAGCTTCTTGAGCCCATAAAATCGGTGAGACTTTATTAGAACAATTTTTACGGCGCGTCACCTACCGATGATGTTAGCCGCACAAATCGAATCGCGTGCCGCAGTTTACGAGTCACATTAAATTTGACACCTCGCACTCTATGGAGGGTTTTAGTATGAATCTTAACTGAAGAAATTAAGGTTGTAACCACAGGTGCCATATTGCCATTATTAGAGAATATCGGCAATTTTGCATGTCTTGCTTTTTTCATTGAACAGTATAACTTGAACTGTCATTGTTCAAAATATATTTTATTAATAGTAATAATAATATTTCGGACAATTGACACACAACGCCATCTAGTTTCAAACTAAGCAAAGCTTGTACTATGAAAGCTGGAATGACTGAAGGAATACTTATATACTTTTGTTATAAATGCATACAAATTACAACAAAATACCGAAACTCCTAAACAAATATTTGCAGATCATAAAAACATTTGAACCTGAGACCTGAAAAGAGCAGTCGCATACGATGCACAATTTTTAACGTTACAGTCTTCACACCGTGTTTATAGCCTTCTGTAGAACCTTTTCCATTAATATGCAATATTTGTCTAGCACTTGGCAGCACGCTGATAAATAGCCATTCTATTTAAACCTTAATATTATAGGATCCTTTCTCTTCTAGAGATTTTTTTTATCACTGGCAATCATCAAAATGAGATTAATCAGAATCTAAGCTTAACCTTTCTACAACAGTACAAGTAAGCTTATGAATATTTTGAGATAAGTTAAACAATGTGACTACATTATCATCATTATTATGCATAACTATTTCTAAGAAAGTACTGATGAAAGTGCTAAAACCCTACTCAAAGCCGTTCGTGTGCAAAAACTCAATGATCTGTAAATCATTACTAATAATGTCTAATATTCTATACTGAAGAATGATCTGAAAAAAAAAACACTTTGACTCAATATTTGTGTGACCGATAAAAAAATAATCTTATTCAACCTCCAGATAAACAGATATGTGTTGAAAACAACAACCAAACTAGTCAGTATCGTTGTGTTTACAGTTCAAAAATGGCGGCCGTAACCGCTGATTCTCAAAATAATAATTTGTTTAAACGGAAAACTAAGAAATGTCTTAAAAACGTCTGCAGCATCAAAACTTTGAAAAAAAGATTACCTATTATTGAATGGGTTCCAAAATATAAAAGGGAGTACATTATTCAAGACATTATTGCCGGCATCACAGTGGGATTAACCGCTATACCTCAAGGTATGGCATACGCAGTCATTGCTGGACTACCTCCGGAATACGGCTTATATGCGTCTCTGACGTCTGGAATAATTTATGTGGTTTTTGGAAGTTGCTACAACATAACTGTAGGTCCAACCGCCATCATTTCTACGCTAACAACAAGATATGTAATCGGCTATTCACCTGACTTTGCCATTCTCGTTGCTTTTCTATCGGGAGTGTTAATACTACTACTCGGAGTTTTAAATCTCGGATTTTTAGTAGAATTTATATCAATGCCAGTGATAAACGGTTTTACTAACGCTGCTGCCCTTCAAATTGCTGCTTCACAATTAAAATCATTCTTTGGTCTGCAAGGATCATCAGGAAATTATTTTGCAGAGTCGGTATATAATTTCTTTAAAAATGTATCGACAGCTAAACTTTGGGAGCCTATATTGGGTTCAAGTACTATAATCATGTTATTATTACTGAAGAAAATGGGACAAGGTTGCAAGCGCACTGATGGCATTATGAAGCAGGTGAGATGGTTCATATCCTTGTCCAGAAATGCTGTTGTGGTAGTAGTAGGCATGATCATTGCTTATACTATAAAGCTTGTGAATGACTCAGAGCCTTTGATTTTAATTGGCGACATCGGCCACGGACTTCCACAATTTGGATGGCCACCATTCAGCACCGTAGTTGGTAATGAAACATACAGTTTTACTGAAATGATGCAAACTATAGGAGTACAAGCAGCTGTGCTACCTTTTGTGGCGATTATAGAAACAGTAGCAATAGCCAAGGCTTTTGCTGAAGATGGTAGAATTGATGCTACACAAGAGATGATTGCAGTTGGACTCTGTAATATTATTGGATCTTTTGGCAGAAGTATGCCAATTACTGGATCTTTTACAAGGACTGCTTTGAATCACATTTCTGGAGTGAAGACCCCAGCTGGTGGAGTTACTAAGGTTGTACTGCTTGTTGTCGCCTTAACATATTTAACATCCACGTTTTATTACATACCAAAAGCATCTTTGGCTGGCCTTATTATCACTGCCATGTTCTCCATGATGGACTTTTCAATTGTAAGTAGTTTATGGAAAAACAGTGTTAAAGAGTTTTTATTGTGGCAGGTTACTACGATTGTGTGTTTATTCCTTGGATTAGAATATGGTATTTTAATTGGAGTGTTAGCTGAAGCTTTGCTATTGTTGTATAACGTTTCGAGACCTTCCTTAAAAGTAGAATTATTGAAAGCAGTAAAAGGCGATATTTTAGTAGTTAATTTATGTGAAAATGTATCTTACTGCGCAGCAGAATATGTTCGTCAAAAAGTAATGAGGGCTACTTCGTATACACTAACCAATGTCCCAATAGTGTTAAATGGTCTAAATTTGAGGATGTTAGATTTTACTGCTGCTAGTAACTTGATGTCTATAATTAAGGATCTAGATAAAACACATCATATAATTTTGTTAAATTTTAACGTAGACGTAAAAAAATTATGTTTGAGTATTGATTCGCAATTTGAAAGTAAGTTTATGTACGCGTCTAGTCCACTAGAGTTAACTGAAATATTTACTAAGGATGTATGAATCAATAATTTTGTAGTTTAAGAGTTGGCTTTTATTCACTTTTATACGGTAGGTACTCTCCTTGAAGTACTGATAAATTGTACTGAATACGTAATGTAGTAGCTGTATCTACAAGTGCAGATAAAATGTTATCAAGATCTCAAATGATCACCAAATGAATGTTTGTACAAAATGTACGCTCGATATAATTTGTATTGTTATAATATTGCTTGAAATTAAATTCAAGTCAGAGAAGGTTTAAGATATAGATTCGGGTTAGATATACTTTTTGGCGAATTTTGAAAAATATTTTTAAGATTAGATAAAATTAAGCTTATATTAGAAAGTCAGTGTAATTTATAACTCTATGAAAGGAAATGAAGTTTTGATAAGGAATTGTGCAATAGTCGGGCATGGCAAGGAATACTGCTTTGTAATAATTCTTGTAATATATCCTATCCTTTTTATCCTTGTGTAAGTCATTTTGTGAATTTCGAGGCGATTTTGTTTTGTTATGCCGTATTAAGTAGTATTAAGAAGTAGTTTTTAGTATATACCTAAATTATGCTAAAATTCTCAAGAATATATTTCTGATTAAAGGTATCGAAGGCTTTTGTAAGTTCTGAAGGCAAAATAAACATTTTTATTAAATACACCATTTGAGTCCCCTTTTTCACCATTTGCCAAAAAAGGTTTGTCAAGCCTTAGAAGAATTATTATTAAAGCATTACGCTGTGATATTGACCATCTGCTGTAAATTTATTGTACAGAGTACCAAGATTATACCTTGGCTAAGAAGTGTTGACATCGAACCTGACAACTGTGTCAATCAGTAGTATATACGGGGCTTTTATCTTGATCCACATATCAATAGATGCAGATTGTAATATTTAAAACGTCAGACGTGTTGTTTTAGTAATATTTATATATGTAAGGACACCAAGAACAATAAACTTCAAAATAATATTTAAGTTTAAACGTAATTTTAACTGCACTTAACAGGATTTGATTTGTCAATCGTTTTGATTGATCGATTCTTACAAATACTTAGAAATACCCTCGAAAAACCTAATCAAGAAGTAACTTGATATTCGTCATTTTCCGTTTTTTTTTTAATAATTAATAAACGATCTAAGTGGCATGTAATGAGAGAGCTCTATGTCCAGCAGTGGACTGCGATACTGATGATGATGATACGACAATATGTACATAATGTTACTTACTTATTTAATGAAAGCCTCACAATATCAAGCAAAAATCTTCTAAAACCAACTATAACGTTATTTCTAACAATATTGTCGAAAGTATATAATGTTGTCGAAAGTATAGTCAGGGCTTTTTGCTTAACAGTAAAATATACTCTACATTTAACGACCTCTTACAAAACTCAAGTTTGCCGAGCCAAATGACCAGAAAAGTCCACATGTTAGCAGTATTTAATATCAGGTTACGCTCGCCATTTTTCTAAAATTTTGCAGTTTTTTTTTTAACAGGGTTTAACAAAAAAACACAACAAGTGTAAAAAATAATAATATGTTATTAAAGACGGAAATGATATAATCCCATGCGTCGCGTTTTTCTATGTCAGTATCTTAGAAGGCATACGAGTACACATGACCGATAAAGGTTATCTACTCTGCATTTGATAAATGTGTTCGTTAGTTATATTCACTTTATTCAATGCAGTCTCGGAATCAACACGGCTGTAGATATGACTATCGTCAAAGAAACTTTGCGAAACAGCAATGTGTATAAACGGAAAACAAAAAAATGTCTTCGAAACACTTTTAGTATCAAAACTTTGCATAAAAGATTACCCATCGTTAAATGGCTTCCGAAATACAAAGCTGAGTACATTATTCAAGATATCATCGCTGGAATCACGGTGGGACTAACTGCAATACCTCAAGGTATAGCATACGCAGTCATTGCTGGACTATCTCCTGAATATGGATTGTACGCATCCCTGACGTCTGGAATAGTCTACGTGTTGTTTGGAAGCTGCTACAATGTTACCGTGGGACCTACTGCTATTCTTGCAGCTATGATATCAAAATACGTTACCGATTATTCGCCTGACTTCGCAATTCTTACTGCTTTCTTAAGTGGGGTATTTATATTACTGCTTGGTATTTTGAACCTCGGATTCTTAGTGGAATTTATATCTTTGCCAGTGATTAGTGGATTTACAAATGCTGCTGCTCTACAAATTGCCGCTGCACAATTAAAATCGTTTTTTGGATTGCAAGGACCATCTGGAAATGATTTTGGTGAATCATTGTATAATTTCGTTGTCAATATAAAAACAGCAAGACTTTGGGAGCCCATTTTAGCCACAAGTACTATCATCATGTTAATGTTATTAAAGAAAATGGGAGAAGGTTGTAAGCGTACTGACGGATTCATTAAACAGGCGAGATGGTTTATTTCATTATCAAGAAATGCTGTTGTTGTGATAGTAGGTATGATTCTTGCCTATAGTTTTAAAGCCATATATGATTCCGAACCTCTTCTTATAATAGGTGATATAGGTAGTGGACTACCGAAATTTGGATTTCCCCCTTTGAGCACCACAGTAGATAATGAGACATTGAATTTTATTGAAATGGTTCGAATTTTAGGAATACAATCGGTTGTAATACCATTTGTAGCGATTTTAGAAACTGTAGCGATAGCTAAAGCTTTCGCAGAAGGTGGTCGAATAGATGCTACTCAAGAATTAATTGCAATTGGATTGTGTAATATTATTGGATCTTGCAGTAGAAGTATGGCCATTACAGGATCCTTTACTAGGACTGCGCTAAATCATATTTCTGGAGTAAAGACACCAGCGGGAGGAGTCACTAAAGTATTACTTTTAGTTGTGGCTCTAACTTATTTGACTTCTACGTTTTATTTTATACCGAAAGCTTCTTTGGCTGGGCTTATTATAACTGCTATGTTCTCTATGATGGACTATAAGATATTTATTAGTTTGTGGAATAATAGTATTAAAGAGTTACTATTACTGTTGGTTACTATGATAATCTGCCTATTCATGGGATTAGAATATGGCATTATTACTGGATTTTTGGTCGAAGCTTTGCTGTTATTATATAGTGTAGCAAGGCCAACAGTCGATGTTGAGATTTTAAAAAGTAACAAAGGAGACCTGATGGTTGTAAATTTATGTGAGAATATATCTTATTGCGCTATTGAATATGTTCGTAGGAAGGTTATGAAAGTTACTTTGCAAGATTCTAATGTACCAATAATCTTAAACGGTGGTAGCCTAAGGAAGCTGGACTTTACTGCTGCTACTAATTTGATGTCTATGATTAAAGATCTAGATAAAACTCATCATATAAAATTGTTAAACTTTAATGGCGAGGTAAAGAAAATGTGTTTGTATATCGATTCAAAGTTTAATACTAGGTTTGTGTATGCAGCCAGTCCGATGGAGTTAACAGATTTTTTTTCAAAAGATGTATAGGAATATTAAACACGAGAGATATTTTATAAGAAAGTCAAGTGGAATGTGTGATAGCATTACTTTCTTGGTATCAGAACAACAAAATGATGCCAAACCTTTGGCAAAATGGAATTTTAGCCTGCCTGGTTCAAAGTTAGGAATCGTTAAGTAATGTGTGAATAATAATATTTATAAAAATGTTCAAAAGACGTTAAATAACTATGAATAGGAAACGTTTGTATGCTTTTTGTGTATGTTTGTGAAATATTGTTTTGTTATTTTTTGGAAAATTGTTTTCACTTATTATCATAATAATTGATAAACAGGCATTTACATGTCGCAATGTAATGTAACAAAACTTCATTTTGTATTTTTTCGATGAAATAGCAAAATATAACGTTTTATACTTGTTATTAAATCAGAATCGTTCATTATAGTTCCTAAAATTATATTTTGTAGACGATACATATGTTTTAAGTTACGTATTACTTTTATATTTTAAAAAAAATATTTAGTAAACAATACAATATAATTATTATTACGGTTTTTACCTTTAAAATAGAAAATAAAGGGAAACATGTCAGATGAAGTTCGTTTTTTTTTCTTTTCATTTATTGATACAAAGTTTACAATACAAGTATTGGCTATCAAACATTACAAAAACCTTAACAGGTTTGTCTGGGCGTACAACATCCCCCCGCCCCCAATAACATGCAGAAGAAAAAAAAACATCCCCAATTTACGAGTGGTAGAGATATCCTAGGTACCGCGGACAGCCGGACAGATGGAGTAGACTGACTGCGACGCCTTAAAAAAATGATATTTAACCACTAATCCTAATTGAACCGATATTTTGTGAGTTTTTAAACCCTAGTGGATTGTCATGGATAATCCTCCTATTCAACCTAAAATCTAAACGATCTTAAAGAATAAAAGTTTCTTGTTGTTTGAAGATGTAAAGTTAATTGATAATAACTATTAAAGAATCAAATTTAATCATCTCAGAATGAAACACCAGTAAACATACTTCACCTATTTGAAAACTCAAATTTCATCATTCCATACAATATTTTTCATAATCGACACAGAGTTTTATGAAAACTCCTTTGAAACAATGTTTTTATCATAATACTTTGAATCCTCGTCTAAAGTCAGACCAAGGATGAATCTCATGTGATACTAAAATATCAGCTTATGCGGTATTAATGATTATGTAAAAATACAGATTATCTCTCAGTTGTGTATTGAGCTATCACAAGTCAGTTACAATTCACAACTGTCAGGCAATTTTAATCAGGAACTGTCTAGATACGTCATTATCTACTTTTATCACCACGAGAATATTACTAAAAGCAATTCGATGCAGACGTTATTTTTATTAAAAAATAACTATAAAAAAGTATGAGTAACTGAGGCACGAGTCAAAGGAAAGCGAGTCGAAATCCCGTTGTTTCCTTCGGCTCAAGTCCTGCATATCTTGCCATGGGCCTCGATCAGACGATGTGCCTTAGGAACTTCAAGACATTAAAAAAACATAGTCCAATAATGAAACGTTATGGTGACTATACTTTGTTTTGCAATCTTAAACTTACGAGTAAAATATCTTCCTATTGTACGTAATACTCCTCTTCCTCTATCAGACAAGGCATCACAGTAATATAATATATTTATACGATAGATAATAGTAATCTGTAACGTTCAAGTTACGATAAAATAATAAAAAAAATTCAATATTCACTTTCATTACGTTCAGTACCGTCAAGAGAGCACGACATTTTCAATATGAGTCTAGATTCCGACGGAAAATTATCCAAGAAATTAAAAACATGCCTTCTGAATACTTGTCATATGAAAACTTTAAAAAAAAGATTACCTATCATTAAATGGCTACCAAAATATAAACTTGAATATATTTTGCAAGATTGTATAGCAGGAATCACAGTGGCACTGACCGCCATACCTCAAGGAATTGCATACGCAGTCCTCGCTGGTCTACCACCTGAATACGGATTATACGCATCCCTGACTTCTGGAATAGTCTACGTCATATTCGGAAGCTGCTATAATGTCACTGTGGGACCTACTGCCATCCTCGCTTCGATGACCGCCAGATATGTTGCCGATTACTCAGCTGACTTTGCAATTCTCGCCGCTTTCTTAGCAGGAGTAGTCATATTACTTCTTGGCATTTTAAACCTCGGATTTCTAGTGGAGTTCATATCTGTGCCAGTGATAAGTGGATTTACAAATGCTGCTGCTCTTCAAATTGCTGCATCGCAATTAAAGCCCTTCTTTGGATTGGATGGATCATCAGGCAACTATTTTGCCGAGTCTATTTATTATTTCTTTTTCAATATAAAAACTGTGAAGCTTTGGGAGCCTATACTGGCTACATGTACCATAATTATGTTAACATTATTAAAACGGTTAGGAGAAGATTGTAACCGTGCGGATGGATTCATTAGACAAGCGAGATGGTTCATATCGTTGTCAAGGAACGCTGTTGTTGTTATAATGGGTATGGTCATCGCATATGCTTTGAAATTCATATACAATTCAGAACCATTAATTTTAATTGGTGACATCGGAAAAGGTTTACCAGAATTTACTTGGCCGCCATTCAGCACTACAGCTGGTAATCAAACTTTGAACTTCATTGAAATGGTGGGTATTTTAGGAGCTCAAGCTGTTGTGATACCATTTGTAGCGATTCTAGAAACTGTAGCAATCGCGAAGGCTTTTGCTGAAGGTGGACGAATTGATGCTACCCAAGAGTTGATTGCTGTTGGACTCTGTAATATTGTTGGGTCTTTTGGACAAAGTATGCCTATAACAGGTTCCTTTGCAAGAACAGCTTTGAACCACATTTCTGGTGTGAAGACCCCAGCTGGTGGAGTCACTAAAGTATTACTTCTTGTTGTTGCTTTAACGTATTTGACATCTACATTCTATTACATACCTAAATCATCACTAGCTGCTCTTATTATCACTACTTTATTTCACATGACAGACTTTAAAATTTTTACGAGTTTGTGGAAAGCTAGTAAAAAGGAACTTTTAGTATTAATAACAACTATGGTTATGTGCTTATTTTTTGGGCTCGAATATGGTATTATTACGGGAATCGTCTCCGATGCTTTGTTGCTATTGTACGATGTGGCGAGACCCTTTATCGAGGTACAAATAATAAACTGTGACAAAGGCAATTTTATAATTGTTAATTTAACTGAGAATATAGCTTATTGTGCAGTTGAACATGTCTGTAAGACGGTTGTCAAAGCTGCTTCAAAGACAGGATCTGCCGTGACTGTAGTATTAAATGGGGGTAGTTTGAAGAAGCTAGATTTTACTGCTGCCTCTAATTTAATGTCCACTGTTAAAGACTTGGATAGAACAAATCCATTGGTGCTGTTAAATTTCAACAGAGCCTTAAAGAAGCTATGTGTAAATATTGATCTAGTTTCAGAGTCTAAGTTTATTTATACGTCTAGCCTACAGGAGTTAATAAACTAAGGAGTAAATGAATAAAAGAAACCAAATCGAGGCCATATGTTTACATTGTTGACCTGCAATAACAACCAATGAATGTTTGTTTTAAGGATTGTGTGTTTTATTTATAAATACGAGTATATAGCATTCTTAACTGTAATTGATTAACCAGTGCCTAAATATTAACATTAGAATTATTAATTTAGGGATAGTTTATTCTTACAACCTTTTGTTATGGTAAACTACCACACTTCACCGTAAGTATTGGTTTCAATGCCCAGATATTTACTGGAACAAACCATATAGTTTCGAACCGTTTATTAATAATGTAGTTTGGCACGGAACAATAAGTTCTATACAAATACGCATAAGATGGATAAATGGATTGTGGCGCTAAAATGGCACTAAAATGGATTGTGGCGCGATTGTATTGTTTACATTTGAATCAAAATTGTATTCCTCGGAAGCGATAGGTTCTTGCTGGAATGTTCTTTTACGAGTGCTATAAATGCGGACACGTATTCGTTGGAGTTCAGTTAAGTTCGAGGCGATACGCACTGTAGGCGCACTGTAGGCGATAAACACCGAAGCGATAGAAATGTGAAGTGTGAATGTTGTTAAACGTTTTTAGGTGTAGTGATAATAAATTTTCTTTAGTCGTCAGAAGGCTTATTATTCCGAATCAACGAACCCTAACGTAACAGTATATAATATATAAAGTATATTGCATCTGTTGTATGTATTGTATTTACATACGATTGCAGTCTTGCGAGATTATCTTATCTGCAAACTTGAACATAGATAATTCTATCTGAATGTTAAAAAGGTAAAATTTCAGTAGCGATAGTTATCTGTTAAGAAAGTTTCAAAGTCAGTTAATAATTCTGACTGAAATCTATCTGGTCGTTTTATAGAGTTTATAATGTTTTTTGTTCGTAGTATAAACGCGATAATTTTTTATGTATTAAATTTTTAGCAATCAACTGTCATCTTTTGTCATCTCCAAGCATTTAATTTACAAGATACTAATAATATTTAGTCTTTTATTGAAGTTTTTGTATCAAACTACTAGAACATATATTTATTGAGACTCCATTGTATCTTATGGTCTTATCTTCAGTCTGGTTGGATATTAGGAATGATGGCGTGTAAAGGCTGGCAATGCACCTGTGTTCCTTAAGTTGCAGGATTCCATGGGCGACGGTAGTCACTTACTATCAGAGAGCCAAGGGCGAGTTTATTTCACATCAACTCACTCTCGACAGCGAACGCGTTCGACGTTGCGATTGGTGAAGATTTCAGTGCGGACCAATCGCAACGCCGAACGCGGACACCGTCACGGTCGAGTAGAAGACCAAAATAGAGGCCTCTGTTGTCCTGCTCTTTCACCATCTGTCTCATTAAAAATATGTAAGCACATATAGTATATATGAGTGTAGTATTTACTACCAATCGTCACAATTTTAGGCGATTTTTGTTATGTTAGAGGGGGCAGACCAGCAGACGGGTCCGATGATGGAAAGTGACCATCGCAGTCCATGAACGTCTGCAACTCAGGAGTCACAAACGCGTTGCCGGCCTTAATAATATTATAATATTTAGATGATTTTCTTCACTTTTTCATGTAATGAGTTATGACAGATACTTTTACTATCTATGCTAGCAGCCATTCTTAGTATCTATATGTAAAATATACAAAATAATTTACTTATTTTGCAAAACATACAGCAGACGATCGTTTTAAATTTGTTATTTTGGAAGAGAACCAACGCATGCAAGATCACTTTTATTCATTGGTATTGTACAGTCGACAACCTAAATATCTGACTGTGCTTTTAAAATAGTAACTTTTTAATTTACATTGACTTTAAATACAAAATGGATTAATATCACAACTTTAGACGGTCAACGAATTAACTAGAACTTTGTCTGCTCAACGGTGGGGTAACAATAGTGTACTCATTTTTATTTAATATATTGCCTTAATATATTTGCCTAAATTAATTAAATATCTATGTCAAGTATTACCATAACAATTATGACTATTCTAATTGAGCGCTTTAAAAAATTGAATTTGTGGTCTATGAAGTATTTAAAACATTGCTTTTCTGGAGTGTATTTAAAGGGGCGACTGTACTCTATTGCAGCCTTGACTTTGCCAAAAATGAGAGTCTAGACAAGAAAACGACCTGCGCTTGTGTATAACTTATTTAAATTATATGAATATTAAGTGAACAGATATGGACGTGTTTTGTGTGCTAAATGATTTATGGCCGGCGCATCGTGTACAGTTTTATATGAATAAATTATAACGTAGACTTGTTTACGATGCAGATTGACTACCAATCCTAAATTGATATACATTTAAAAGATAAGAAACGTTAAAATTTATATTTAGGTATAAACTAGGTAATAATAGCCATGAACAACATAACAAGTAAAATTCAAAAATAAAATAAGAAAAAAGAAATGTTATTTATTTATGATATTCATCATCATCATCAGCCTACCGCCGTCCACTGCTAAACGAAGACCTCCCTAAAGGAGCGCCAACTATCACGATCTTGGGGAACCCGCATCCATCCGCTTCCAAACACTTTCTTCCAAGCGTTGGTCCATCATGCTGCATATGTTACTAATATTACTTCATCACTACAAAGTAATATTTATTATATATTAGGTAATTGTATTTAGACCACGAAGCCAAATAAAGCTTAATAAATCGTAGTCACCACATAAGTCTCATCATCATCTACGTTTGCCAGCCATATACTCGTACTATAAAAAAAAAAGTGTGCGTCTCGGGACGCCCGACAGAAGTGATAAACTAATCTAAGTTGAACTATTTAATGTTGAAATTGTTTAACTTGAGAAAAGCTTAGGTTATTACTTAAATTTCATGTAAAGCGTCTGTCCGAAATACGGCAAGCGCTGTGGGTTAGAGTGAGAGAGGAGGAGTCTGCCTACCGCTGCCGTATGCATGAGAGAAAGGGAAGCCAGACAGACTGGCGCCGTAACGCGTTACGTAACGAAGCGGTTTACTCTCCCATAAGAAGTTATCACTTCAAAAATAGTAGTATTTGTAAAACACCTAAAAAGTTAACTACTCTATTGCTAGTGGTAGTGAGCTCACGTCACTAGTATATAAGATTGAAGCCCGCCACCACACGATCATCAATCGCAAGATTTCCTTAATCAATAGGCCGAATCAAATGTAGTTATAGCTAGTTTATCTAAAATATGATACTTCAATATTCACTCAACTGTATGCACACCTAAAATTAAACACCCTAAACCTTATTGATCATTGCAAATTAACGATACCTTGTAAGCGGCTGAAACACCCTGTAATATCGCAGAGGGTCGTCGAATCTAACAAAGCGAGAATATACGTCCTCCCTACCTACGTCACAGTGTCAAACGGGAACAAAGAGGCGCCGGGCGGCAGGCTTGTTTATCGATGACGCGTCAATCACCACTTCCGGTAATGGCGGGGTCCGAAGTTGGATAATATGGAATCGTCTGTACAATACGCGCTTTTGAAGTTGATAGGTTTTTGAAATTAGCGGCGGGTTGGAAGAAAAAATGAATGGCAGGCTGACTTTGGTGAATGGAAGGAGGTGAAAGAACTGGCAAACATAAATACCAAGAAAGGATAAAAAATTAGGAAATCAGAAATACAGTGTTCTGTCTTCATCTACATTCAACTTCAAGGTCATATGATACGATTCAAAGCTTTCTAATACCTTACTTAAACAATCATGAATTTCTGCTTAAGATCTTCCTCTTAAAAATAATATTAACATAATTATGATAAAAAAACTCACAAAGTTATGTTAAAAGACTTGAATTATCTAGTGATAACCTGTTTAAACAATCAATAAAATTATTTAATAAGACCTTATTAATTATAAACAATTAGACTATTGATTAATTTACCTATAAACTATTTTTTTAAAAGCGCAATGAATCCGCCTATTATCAGATCATATTTAAGATAGTTATCAACCTTACCACCAAAAACTTTAGTGATTCGCCAAAAACGTTCTTACATTTTTCGCACAACATTAACAGTGTTTACGTAACCTACACACCTGTTTACCCATAGTGTTAGTGCCCTGAAAACCTTCAAAAACACAATAAAACAATAAAATGTCCCTTTGTTTCCGCCATAGACACATCCATATTACGACTAACCGCCAGTGTGGCGCCGCGCTCCGCCGAATGTTACGAGGGCTCAAAACTGAAAGACACAGGCATGTCGATATTAAATACTAGTAATATACATGTACTTATTTATCTCCGGTATTGTTTCCTGGGGGTAAGCAGGACTGACAGTCAACGTGCCTATGTGGTGTCTAAATTATTGCTGTATTTGACACAATTTTGAGGCGTTTTACAGAAGAAATGCTTGTCAAGGTTTTTCTTCTAGAAGGGTTCTGTTACAATTACAATGCATTAAAATGATCTACTATTATAATCGTCGATAGACTTAAGTGAGATCAGTGACTTCTATGTTTCAGATGTGACTTTTTATATTATTATTTTTTGCTCAAGGTATTTTTATATTTTCCATTCTGAAATTTCTTCCCATGCTAAATTATTTTATAGGTAATTATTTCTCGCGAGTGACTACAGTTTTGACACCAATAAGATGTCAATCTATGACAGAAAATTTCAGTATATAATGCCTATTAAGGCAGACAAAAATCACTATACATATTCATATACAGTGAGTTTTTATTAATTCCGTATTAATTTCATACTTCAAAAATGAACAAATCAGTACGTCTCAATACGTATTTTATAAAAACCAAAGTCGAATTGAATCTGGAAGCATAAATACAATAAACGTATCAAATTAAAATAAAATTTGCATTTCTTACCAAGATGGAGGCCATTTTGGTTCATTGCTCGTTAAAACTCACTGCGTTCCTAGACTACGAGACTAGGCTAGACTCATTTTTCACCTATAAAATCCCCATATTGGATATATTATAGAAAATATTAGGGTCATTCTTGAG